CATTCAGCACCCGGTATTCGTAAATAGCTTGTAACCTTACAATAACTCATCTAGTTCAAAGGAAATGAGTTCTGTCTTACAATTCATGGATGAAGACAATTCAGATTCTAATCATTCCCTTTAAGAAGGTCACTTGGCGATCAAAAGCAATGCCAACCAATTAGCGGCAATACACACGTCAAGACGTCATACACAATGTATTTGTCCCTGCCCCTCACCTCCATAGAGAGTGAGAGAGGCAGAGAGAGAAAGACAGAGAGAAAAAGAGAGGGAGGATGAGAGAGAGACACACAGAGAGTCAGTCCAGAGAAATAGAGAAATGGCGAGAGTGAGAGAGAAAGAGATAGAGAAATGGAGAGAGTGAGAGAGAGAGAGAAAGAAAGAGAATGTGCGACAGAGTGAGAGAGTGAGTGAGTGAGTGAGAGAGAGATAAAAGTCCAACGATGATCTTTTTCGTTCATTTTCGGATGGCACAAATGATAATACTGAGAATGCGTGTTCGTGGTTGTCGCACAACACACGAATGATCTATTGACGTTAAACAAAAGCACTGTCTAGTTTTTACGAATTCAATATTATGTTCATATTTGCACATACCGTTTCCACAGTTTATAGCCAGGGATAATAACGTTTCATGAATGGAGAAATATTATCAGATGAAACTGTTATTTGAATAAATATGTGGTGCATGATAGAACTGATCCCCAATCCAGGAGTCGGTGTAACTGTAGTAATGTTCAAAGCTGCGTTAAACACCACTCTTTCACTCAAACAAATGGCAAACATCCAAATTGTGCGCCGTGCGACCTTAAGGTCGAGGAGATGTCTTCAATAAATTGTATTGGGAGTTTCATTACATAATTTCAGAATATATGTTTATTTATTGAACTTTATATGAAGCACAGTTTTTCTGTCAGTTTATAAGAACATGCGAATATGTTTGCGTCCACATACACATGCATGCATGCGTGCGAGTGTGAGTGTGAGTGTGAGTGCGAGTGTGTGTGTGTGTGTGTGAGTGTGTGTGTGTGTTTGAGTGCGAGTGTGTGTGTGTGTGTGTGTGTGTGTGTGTGTGTGTGTGTGTGTGTGTGAGTGCGAGTGTGTGAGTGTGAGTGCGAGTGTGTGTGTGTGTGTGTGTGTGTGTGTGTGTGTGTGTGTGTGTGTGTGTGTGTGTGTGTGTGTGTGTGTGTGTGTGTGTGTGTGTGTGTGTGTGTGTGTGTGTGTGTGTGTGTGTATCTTTTGACAAAGTACTAGGAGTAAAGCATGGATATATTTTCATTTGTGGTAATTCCAAGTTTAGTATCATATGCAATATATAACTAAAACGTTCGTTTGAGCTTCGAAGTATGGTTTTCATATGATGAGAATAATTATAACATATAATCACCAGACTTGAGGTATCATTTATTTACATTGTCGTCTTAGGCACAGTTTAATGTATTGCGATTTTTTAATGAATACCCACGTTGTTTCAGAAGACTCAAATGATAGCGAAGTTGTCACATTCATTGTTTGGATGTTGTCGCCTGCTTTGGGTATCAATCCGTATATATGGTCAGGATAGATCCAGTTCGGGCATGATAGACATGCCCTCATTTGTTTTGCCTTTTATTAAAACTCATCATTGACGTTGTCAATCTGATGAACATTTCTGAAAGTTTTACAACCACTACAACCCAGTCTTGACACATCTTGTATTACCACGATACAGTCATGATCCATTCGGTTTCAGTTAGTATTAGCTATTTAATTGCCATCACATCCATATTCCATGTTATGCAAGAAGGGAATACGTGTTTATTTGATAAGAGTTTGTGAAGGTTGTTTAACAGTGACATATCTCAAACTCAAGTTTATTATGCTTTTGAACCAGTAATACGTTTACCAGGAAATACCACACCGTCTGTGCCCATTGATGAGGTGATGTTATTTCGGTCAACGTGTTTGTAATGAATTTGGGAAGCTGATGAGGTAGCATCTCAAGAGTATTTTACACTGCGTGTTTGATGTGGGACCGGAATATCCCTTGATATCATAAATGATGCGGATCAAAGTCTACACATCAAATGATCTCTCAGCGAGATGGAAAATCACAAGACATGCTCCAGTGATAAGAGAGATATTCTCGATCTGGCAACGCAAAGCAATTAATTGGATACGAAGAGAAATTATTTGCGTTCATAGAGAAAATGCGTTTATGTTTACTTGCTACTTAAGTTAGCGTATTTAATAAAATAGATGTTTGCTTCCCATTCCTTAACAGATTAAGCAATTTTTCAGAATATCTTGAATGACTATGAAGAATTGCTGGCGGGATAATGAAGAAAAGCGTTTTAACGGATTTTTGTTTAAAATACAAGATGCACAGTTTGTGGATGTAAGTAAACGAAGGAATTACACTGGATACTGATACTGTACAGTTTGAAATAATAACGGTGTTTTATGTTAAAACTATATTCATTAATCCGCGAGTCCGCGGTATTAGATGCAAAGTAATCTAATAACCATATTCATTCCATGTGTCGCGTTGTATTCCATACAATTCAAACGTTTTATTCTATTTGATTTTGAACCGCTTTTAAGTGTCATGTTGTGTAATACCATTTGCATCCATTTCGTAAAAAGACACAATTTCACGCTAGAAACGATAAAAATCATCGATATTACCTTTTTGGAATGGTAGTCTGGAATTCAAGAGAGGAAGCGAAAAATCAATACATTTAATCATATATTTCATCCCGTAATTTAATGTCAGTGCGCTCGCGGTATTTACGGTCCCTAAAATCACCCATGCACCTTGATGGTTCGTAAAGTGTACCCTTTATGCATTTCCAGACGTGAGTATTAAATCCTGTAAAATAACATAAACTATTAACAAAGTTCTGTTTCATTTAACATGCATGCAACATATACCAGGCCATACGAACTACAAACAGCTACAAAAGAAATATTCATTAAAAGTCTTTTCGCTTTGTTGTCAATACATCGTCAAAACACGACGGCATTCAAATCTTTCAGTCGATCTTTTACCCAGTTGAATTTAATTTAGGTTTTAGAATAACTCTATCTCTGATCATGAGGGCAGTTTGCCAAAATGACTTATTTTCAAAAGTAAGAATTTAACAGCGTTCACGTTTAACCACATATTATCTTTCCTTACATGAAAGTTTGCCAGTTGAATCAGTTTTTAAAATAAGACAAAGATTGTAATCTTAACTCTAGGATTAAATGATGGGTACGTAACTTGATATAAAACGTGTTTCAATTACAGCCGAATGCACTCTAGTCACCATGTCTTGATCAGAACGGACAGTATTATGGTATTTAGCAAATGAAAACCATACAGGTGGCAAATACCGGCAGTATCGAGTATTAAGTTCAGATTCAGAAGTGCTTCGGCCTCCTCTCACGCAAGCACCTTTGGTTTTACACTCATATAACCTTCCAGTGTATCGGGTAAGATAAACTAATAAATCAGTCAAAGGCCTGGTCACAGAGAGAATACATCTAAATAATCTGTAGAATGATTTGTCGTAAGTTCAACTCAGCCGTAAGCTTTTCTCGTCAATCTTGATGGATTCCCCATGTGATAGGCTGTCTAAATATTGAGGCGTTGAGAATCAGCTGTCAGTTTACTATAAATCAGTCTTTACAAGATTTTTTAATGAATTTTCAATCTTCAGCTGGGTTGGCAAAATTATATTTTACGTGTTACAATATCAGAAACCTATATGAGATTTTCTTATCTTTGCAAAAATATGAACTTCACACTGACACCGATATAGTCTGAGTGAAGTGTAGTCATATGAAAGGAATATTACAGAAGGAGGTCTAAACGTTATCTGTACTAAATTGTTCCCAACAACTAAAAACCAAGTGATGGACATCAATATCATGCTATCTCATTAAAATAGAACAAGTATGTTGAGCAATTTATTCAGACGTTAAAACAAAATTACAAGTTTCGCGAAATTAATATCAATTATTAATAAGTTATGTAAAATAAACAGTCGTTATTAGACTTGGAGATTTTATATTAAAGACGTGCGGGTCGTGTTTAAGGTATCATGTGAAATAACAAGGACGTCTATAGATAATAATTATATAGATGATAATAAGTAAAGCAGGCAGACAACGCATTTCCGTGTATATGAAATGCTTGCAACTTGGGTGTATACTCCCAGGGAGTTGAGAATAATTGTTGAGTGCACACTGATCCATTGATCAAGGTAATAATAGCGAAGCGCTTTGAGCATGCGCCTTTGTGGAAATATAAATATGGCCTATTATCTTTGTTGTTGTTATTATTATAAATGCTGAGTGTGTAAATAGTCTATCTAAAATTGAAAGTTGTTTTGTTCAATTACATGCACATTCTTCTTCTTCGCATGAAGATGTTCAATGCACACTAATGTGTTTCATGTACACAATAAAAAACGTAGTAGTAGTTGTAGCAGTTTTTTTTGGTTGTTGTTGTTTAACGCCGCACTCAGCAAAATTCCAGCTATATGACGGCGGTCTGTAAATAATCGAGTCTGGACCGGACAATCCAGTGATTGATGCCATGAACATCGATCGACTCAATTGGAATACGATGACATGATGACCTATTCTACTCCGGATCTTAGTAGTAGTAGTAGTAGTAGTAGTAGTAGTAGTAGTAGTAGTAGTAGTAGTAGTAGTAGTAGTAGTAGTAGTAGTAGTAACGTTAAAATATATAACAAGTATAATATTACAGAGGTTACCTAACGCGAAGAAACTGGCAAATGCTATGTAAATATGTCATGTATGCATGCTTGTTAATTTTAATTTCTGATTATTGTTTGCAACAACATAAGCTGTGTGTAACACAACCTACCCTTTAAATGCCACAGCGTAGGTCGTTGTGACAATCCAATGTACTTGACGTTACATAACTTCCCGCTTCATTGTTGTCCATTCGCACAAGCGGCTGGCCAGTGACCGTGGCCACAATCAAAGCCCACGCTGAAGGATAATGAGTGTGTTGACAAGGCGTCGATATGGTATACAGTGATGAGATTTTCACAATACGCTGTGAGTCGTTTCACAGTGAGGTAAAGATAAGCATACTTTGTTTATCAACATGTGGAATGGGAACGCTTAATACATCAGAAGCAGTTGTATTTATCGAGGTAAGAACACTCTTACCAATACTGATTTGTTTTGGATTACAATTATATAGGAGCAGATACTTAATATGTCTTTACATGCAAGAGCAATTGTGTTCAGTCACATGTACACTCAATGTACCCTCCCTGTATGTATTTGATCTTGACATATTGAATGTAGGAGGCCACAAACCCTTGGCTGTCTCATGACTCTGTGGCCGCCATCATAATGATCCGTGTGCTTGGCTGGCCACACTCTACACACGTCCGTAGGTTTCATCAAAGTGGTAAATTTCTTCGAACCGTTCTGCTATAAGTATTATTTTGTTCTTCGGGAACAAATGTGCTGCGCTCCACAGTTTTGTGCCTGCATATTTCCTGTAGTTAGTGGCGTAGTGTTTTTATGTATTAGGCTAATGCTGGGTCAACATCATGTTATTTTCTGTTAGCAGAAAGAACCTAACATTACAACCGAATCTAGTGTCTCAGTAAAGTAAAAACTACCATAAAACCTTTTGAAAGCTCTACCGGTGCATTGAGTGCTGTACTCCTGATCAAACAACTTTAGGGAAGTGTGGAATGTTACGTAGAAAGGGCATGTTATACATCAAAAGTTGTGAACTGTAGACACTAAAGGCTAGAGGTGGTGGAATACTGTTCGTCATAAAGGGCAAGTTTCATAGATCTAACTGTGAAACAGATGATGCCGTAACATTGGTCTCTTGTATTTCTAGTTCAGGTGGGTCAATCAGTGGACGGGAATGGGCTATTTCACCATTATAGAACGGCATTAGATCATCGATATATAAATATTGCTCCAGTTAAATAGAACAGAACTCCTATATAAAGCTCAAGAAGTATTATGCACAAGAGGCAGAGAGAAGTAGTATCAAGTTTTGGTTAATGATCACTGTAATCCTAATGTAAACAAGCCCAGAAGCTATAGACTATGCAAGTATGGAATCAAAACTTGTCACTGTGCAAGAGTGTCTTTGTTAAGACATAAGAGAAGTTTGATGGCATCTTTCCGCTGTGGAAAGGAAGTCCTTTAACGTTGAGCGAGGTCGTTATACCAAGCCTATTACTCCTACTAAGATCGACTGTGTATATTATGTGATAATCAGGCTATTGAAGATGAAGTCGATTTTATGCTCCAGTGTCATTTTTTATGATATTTGTGAAATATTTTTTTTATAAATGTAAAAAATAAGATAATTACTTTATAGGCCTTCGTGACTATGATGAAATGTGATGGCTTATAAATACAGCTGTCATACAGTATGAATTATGTAAATCTATGCAATTAATGTACCATAAGAGACTCTTACAAGTTAAGCAAAATGTAATTGTTCTGCGGTGTTTTGCATACTACTTGAAATGTATGTAGATTGAAATATTAGATTATGTGATTGTACAACTAATGTATGTTAGATGTGTATGCATGCTAGGCGTGTATCTATGTAAGTGAAAGGTGCACGCATGTAGGTAAAAGATGTACATATGTTAGAGGCGTATGTATGTTAGAGGTGTACCTGTGTCAGTGAGAGGTGTATGGATGTTAGAGGCGTACCTGTGTCAGTGATTTGTATGTATGTTAGAGGTGTAGGTATGTTAGAGGTGTACCTGTGTCAATGAGAGATGTATGTATGTTAGAGGTGTATGTATGTTAAGGTGTACCTGTGTCAGTGAGAGGGGTATGAATGTTAGAGGTGTACCTGTGTCAGTGAGAGGTGTATGTATGTTAGAGGTGTACCTGTGTCAGTGAGAGGTGTATGTATGTTAGAGGTGTATGTATGTTAGAGGTGTACCTGTGTCAGTGAGAGGTGTATGACTGTTAGATGTGTACCTGTGTTAGTGAGAGGTGTATTGATGTTAGAGGTGTACCTGTGTCAGTGAGAGGTGTATGTATGTTAGAGGTGTACCTGTGTCAGTGAGAGGGGTATGTATGTTAGAGGTGTACCTGTGTCAGTGAGAGGTGTATGTATGTTAGAGGTGTACCTGTGTCAGTGAGAGGGGTATGTATGTTAGAGGTGTATGTATGTTAGAGGTGTACCTGTGTCAGGGAGAGGGGTATGTATGTTAGAGGTGTACCTGTGTCAGTGAGAGGGGTATGTATGTTAGAGGTGTATGTATGTTAGAGGTGTACCTGTGTCAGGGAGAGGGGTATGTATGTTAGAGGTGTACCTGTGTCAGTGAGAGGTGTATGTATGTTAGAGGTGTACCTGTGTCAGTGAGAGGGGTATGTATGTTAGAGGTGTACCTGTGTCAGTGAGAGGGGTATGTATGTTAGAGGTGTATGTATGTTAGAGGTGTACCTGTGTCAGGGAGAGGGGTATGTATGTTAGAGGTGTACCTGTGTCAGTGAGAGGGGTATGTATGTTAGAGGTGTATGTATGTTAGAGGTGTACCAGTGTCAGGGAGAGGGGTATGTATGTTAGAGGTGTACCTGTGTCAGTGAGAGGTGTATGTATGTCAGAGGTGTACCTGTGTCAGTGAGAGGTGTATGTATGTTAGAGGTGTACCTGTGTCAGTGAGAGGTGTATGTATGTTAGAGGTGTACCTGTGTCAGTGAGAGGTGTATGACTGTTAGATGTGTACCTGTGTCAGTGAGAGGTGTATTGATGTAAGAGGTGTACCTGTGTCAGTGAGAGAGGTATGTATGTTAGAGGTGTATGTATGTCAGAGGTGTACCTGTGTCAGTGAGAGGTGTATGTATGTTAGAGGTGTACCTGTGTCAGTGAGAGGTGTATGACTGTTAGATGTGTACCTGTGTTAGTGAGAGGTGTATTGATGTTAGAGGTGTACCTGTGTCAGTGAGAGAGGTATGTATGTTAGAGGTGTATTGATGTTAGAGGTGTACCTGTGTCAGTGAGAGAGGTATGTATGTTAGAGGTGTATGTATGTTAGAGGTGTACCAGTGTCAGGGAGAGGGGTATGTATGTTAGAGGTGTACCTGTGTTAGTGAGAGGTGTATGTATGTCAGAGGTGTACCTGTGTCAGTGAGAGGTGTATGTATGTTAGAGGCGTACCTGTGTCAGTGAGAGGTGTATGTATGTTAGAGGTGTACCTGTGTCAGTGAGAGGTGTATGTATGTTAAAGGTGTACCTGTGTCAGTGAGAGGTGTATGTATGTTAGAGGTGTACCTGTGTCAGTGAGAGGTGTATGTATGTCAGAGGTGTACCTGTGTCAGTGAGAGGTGTATGTATGTTAGAGGCGTACCTGTGTCAGTGAGAGGTGTATGTATGTTAGAGGCGTACCTGTGTCAGTGAGAGGGGTATGTATGTTAGAGGTGTACCTGTGTCAGTGAGAGGTGTATGTATGTCAGAGGTGTACCTGTGTCAGTGAGAGGTGTATGTATGTTAGAGGCGTACCTGTGTCAGTGAGAGGTGTATGTATGTTAGAGGTGTACCTGTGTCAGTGAGAGGGGTATGAATGTTAGAGGTGTACCTGTGTCAGTGAGAGGGGTATGTATGTTGGAGGTGTACCTGTGTCAGTGAGAGAGGTGTATGTATGTTAGAGGTGTACCTGTGTCAGTGAGAGGTGTATGTATGTTGGAGGTGTACCTGTGTCAGTGAGAGGTGTATGTATGTTAGAGGTGTACCTGTGTCAGTGAGAGGTGTATGTATGTTAGAGGTGTACCTGTGTCAGTGAGAGGTGTATGTATGTTGGAGGCGTACCTGTGTCAGTGAGAGGTGTATGTATGTTAGAGGTGTACCTGTGTCAGTGAGAGGGGTATGTATGTTAGAGGTGTACCTGTGTCAGTGAGAGGGGTATGTATGTTAGAGGTGTACCTGTGTCAGTGAGAGGGGTATGTATGTTAGAGGTGTATGTATGTTAGAGGTGTACCTGTGTCAGGGAGAGGGGTATGTATGTTAGAGGTGTACCTGTGTCAGTGAGAGGGGTATGTATGTTAGAGGTGTATGTATGTTAGAGGTGTACCTGTGTCAGGGAGAGGGGTATGTATGTTAGAGGTGTACCTGTGTCAGTGAGAGGGGTATGTATGTTAGAGGTGTACCTGTGTCAGTGAGAGGTGTATGTATGTTAGAGGTGTACCTGTGTCAGTGAGAGGTGTATGTATGTTAGAGGTGTACCTGTGTCAGTGAGAGGGGTATGAATGTTAGAGGTGTACCTGTGTCAGTGAGAGGTGTATGTATGTTAAAGGTGTACCTGTGTCAGTGAGAGGTGTATGTATGTTAGAGGTGTACCTGTGTCAGTGAGAGGTGTATGTATGTTGGAGGTGTACCTGTGTCAGTGAGAGAGGTATGTATGTTAGAGGTGTACCTGTGTCAGTGAGAGGTGTATGTATGTTAGAGGTGTACCTGTGTCAGTGAGAGGTGTATGTATGTTAGAGGTGTACCTGTGTCAGTAAGAGGGGTATGTATGTCAGAGGTGTACCCGTGTCAGTGAGAGGTGTATGTATGTTAGAGGTGTACCTGTGTCAGTGAGAGATGTATGTATGTGAGAGGTGTACCTGTGTCAGTGAGAGGTGTATGTATGTTGGAGGTGTACCTGTGTCAGTGAGAGGGGTATGTATGTTAGAGGTGTACCTGTGTCAGTGAGAGGTGTATGTATGTTAGAGGTGTACCTGTGTCAGTAAGAGGGGTATGTATGTCAGAGGTGTACCCGTGTCAGTGAGAGGTGTATGTATGTTAGAGGTGTACCTGTGTCAGTGAGAGATGTATGTATGTGAGAGGTGTACCTGTGTCAGTGAGAGGTGTATGTATGTTGGAGGTGTACCTGTGTCAGTGAGAGGGGTATGTATGTTAGAGGTGTACCTGTGTCAGTGAGAGGTGTATGTATGTTAGAGGTGTACCTGTGTCAGTGAGAGGTGTATGTATGTTAGAGGTGTACCTGTGTCAGTGAGAGGTGTATGTATGTTAGAGGTGTACCTGTGTCAGTGAGAGGTGTATGTATGTTAAAGGTGTACCTGTGTCAGTGAGAGGTGTATGTATGTTAGAGGTGTACCTGTGTCAGTGAGAGATGTATGTATTTGAGAGGTGTACCTGTGTCAGTGAGAAGGGTTTGAATGTGAGCGATGCAAGTACTTTATCGTTGTATATGTTTGTGTGAGAGATGTATGTATGTTAGAGGCGTTCCTTTGCATGTGAGGGGATTAGCCTGTGAGCGGAGTATCTGTGTGAGAGGCATAGGCAAGTGTGAGTTGTATCTATGCATCTTTGTCTCTGATATTGATGGTGTGACTTTATGAAAGAGTAATTATGAGACCAGTTTGTACTTGTGAATGGATGTTTGAATGAATGGCTGTTTGGAATTGAATTGGGTTGTAAAGGGGTGGGCCATGATTGATAAATATGTAAATGATGGGAGCAGATATGTAGGCTCAAAACAAAACACCTTTATGTTTGCGTTAGTCAGGTTGCCAATGGGCCTGAAACAGCGATTTGAAGTCCAGAGTTGTTTCCTTTAACAGTGCAAGGATTCGCTGATCATGGCGTTCAAATCCCAGATTCGCCGTGATTATCATCTCTGGTCTGTCAGTAGCACACCCATGCCCATGTGTTTTACCGCAGTGGTAAACATCTTTCATGTTTGAGTTTACTGTTTGTTAGATTTTCTGGGTTTGCTGTCCAGTGCGCGATAGTGCTAAAACCTGCGTAAACTCATATTCACCCAAAATCCATTATATTGCCTCTTAAGCATGGTATGTGTAATCACACTCAAAATAATTTTCCGTTCATTATAGTTTCGGATTTGTGATATGCAGGAATTGATCAAATTTAAATTTAAATCAATATGTAATTGAAATATTTCTGCATGAAAGACTTTCCAACTACAAGTTAGCAGCTCATTACATTTTAAGCTCATGATATAAATAGATAACATTGACATGTTACACCGTGACATACGATAAACTGGTACTTATATATCGGGTATTATTTCCCCATGTGTTAGGCCGTGGGTTGTGATTTAAGGCGGTATTATAAACCTATTACAGTGACCCCGATATATCGTTCCCGGGAAAATCCTTATGGTGTGTATAATGGTCAAATGTCATCACTTATATGTTCGATGGCCGCCGGGACTTCGACTAAACGAGGTTTCACTGTACATGTTTGGGGAAGGAAGCGTTAAATGTAGATATTTGCATCAAGTGCTAGGTTTATGATATATACGTACAATCATAAGCTTTCAACTATATAGTTCTTACGGGGGAGGTAGCCTAGTGGTTACAGCGTTCGCTCTTTACGCCGAAGGCCTGTGTTTGATTCCCTATATGGGTACAATGTGTGAAGCCCATTTCTGGTTTTCCCCGCCATGATATTGTTGGAATATTGGTAAAAGCGGCGCAAAGCCATACTCACTCACTCACTCCCCTTCGTGGTCTAGTTGTAGAGCGTCTGCCCGGAGAGCGGAAGGTCCGGGGTTCGATCCCCGGCCGCCCGTCATACCAAAAGACGTTAAAAGATGGTACTTGTTGTTACCCTGTCCGGCGCTCGGCACAAAGGGCCTAAAACAAGGACTGGTCGGCTCGGAGTCAGTATGCTGTGTCTGAGTGGGGTATTCATGTTAAACTGCGGCATGGTATCTCAGTGAGCTAGCACTATGAATCGGCATCAGTCCGGACTAGTACAAGCAGCCACACAAACACACACACGTGCATGCACGTCGCTATATAAGTGCAATAATCTTGGACGCAACGTTAAACCCCATTTCACCTCACCTCACCTCACTAGTTCTCACGCATACGTTAGACAAGTCCTCTGATGCAATAGCCATACTCATCGCAGAGAGCTAGAAAGATTATCTTTATTTCCTTCATGAGCAGAAAATTACATACACTATAGGGGCGGACGGGTAGCCTAGTGGTTAAAGCGTTCGCTCGTCACGCTGAAGACCCGGGTTTGATTCCCGACATGGGTGCAATGTGAAGCCCTTTGCTGGTGTCGCCCGCCGTGATATTGCTGGAATATTGGTAAAAGCGGCGTAAAACCATACTCACTCACTCACTCACATACACTACTAAGTACAGCAAATGGGCGATGTGAAACCTGTGGCAGCTGACAAGTGCAAACTGCCATTCTACATGTATGATGTCTATAAAATAGAGTTTTTGTGAAGATATCATGTCAGGTCCTCTCGTACAGATATGTGCATGTGGTGGTATACTAATCTATCCATCTATGCCATTTTGTTTTAACACGATATTTTACACGTGTAATTGAATGTATTTAGTATATAACCGATCATGTAATTTATATATAAAACATGTGTAAAGGGGCGTAAAACAGAGAACTGAAGGTGCTCGGATAATTGTGGACATGCAGCATAACCAAACACTTGTACTGAGTAAGTTGGCTTCAAAATAAACTTTGTACAAGAGGATCAGACGGCATTAGCTTCCAAACAATAACAGGCAAGTGTTGTCAATGTCACCTTGCACAGAATGCGTCTCGGGGTATCAGTTACAGCATGACTGGCAGTAAGGCGGGATAGACCCTGAATTATCATACAAAAGAACCTCCGTGTAGATTCTAACATGATATTCTTTATAAGGCAACTTACACCTATACAATGCACAGCACAAAATTATTTTGTTCCAAATACAATAACTATATATAGGTTCAACGACCCGCAGTACAAACCAAGATCCAGATACATATTAACAAGTTTATGAGCTTTTTCACTTGCAGACGGGGTCCTACCTTAAGTAAACTGTTCACAAGAAATTCAAACGACATGTTTTCAAAAAGTTCACGATTGATCGTTTGTACTTAATTATACACCAGCATATATAAAAGTGTTTTGAGACAATACTTGTACTCAGACGTGGCAAGGAATCCTAAATGTTTTAGCAACATTAAATGCAAGCAGAGCATTTTGTTAACAATATACATTGATGTGAAGCGTAAATAGACACGCCGAGATAGATAGATTTTGACCTACTCCTTGTTGGTTGCCTCAAAGTCTATTTCCGTTGTCCTTCCAGACCGTAATCCAGCCTCGCGTCACACTCATTTACGTAAGCCAGAAAATTGATTCATGGCAGCTGACAGTATCAGATGGCGGTGTGGAAGCCAGAGCAAAGTGTCCACTTTTGAAAACTGTGTAAACGTACTATCAACGTTCCTGTGATTTAATTAGTTTCAGTTATGCTATTTTCGTGTATATTGTGAATGTTCATGAAGACTCATTTTTTTCATTTTAGGTAGTCGCCTAGCCTGGTTGTCTCACAGCTCGTTTTTCACCAATGGCGACCAATAACACTGACGCTCAACAGGAATCACTGTCCGGAAGTGATGGCAGTTCCGTCAAACGCATTTTGAATCACATTGATAGACTCCTTGCTTTCAACAAAGTGGAATGGTTTCTGCATGAACAAAGGAAGGATACTATTTTGAAACTTGACTTCATTCAAGACAGAAAGTACACAAACGTTTTTCAAACGTCTGACGCACTGCCAAGAGTTAACGACCATATTTCACGGCTCACCAAGTCGCACAAACTCAAGGAATGGAGTCTTCGTGAGGGAGAAGAATGCGCTTCCATCATTATCGCCTTTCAGTATGATAACTGTCAGTCAGCTGAAAATTTATTTTTCTTGAATACTGAGCATTTGAAGCTTGTTAGCGATTTACATGAACACAAGGATAGTCACAGGTGGCATTTGTCGGACACTTTGTCGGTCGAGTGGCAGTGTAAGTGTAATCCTGGCGTGAGTGATAAAGGTGGAAGAATCCTAACTGAGAAATATTCTACCCCTTCAACCTGTACTCACCCACTTTCCCATTGTGAACCACATGGAACAGTTCCAAACCAGATAGAAAGCGACACCTTGTCGCTCTCATCCCCTGTTAATCAATCTGATGTTCAAGTAAGACAGCTACCTCTAAAAGAGAAAAAGATTTCCTCAAAGACCCCCGCACAAAAACCATATCAATCCGCAATGACATCTTCAGCCAAGACGAGGAGAGATGTTAAATCGGAATCAGAGAATACTGCAAAATCTTTCAAAAACAAATTCCCCTCAAAGATCAGCAAGAATGTTTCAACCAAGAAACCACAAACAACTCAGAATCCGTTCTCAGTTACAGGTTCATCTGCAAATCAAAATAATGCCATCAGGAAGTCAAAGTCTGTTTATGCAGGTAACAGTCTTCGACCTCTACATAGATCAAAATCTACCTCTGGGATCACAATGCCCCGTGATACTACACACAGAAATGGAAAGAAAATCAACGCAACTTCACAAGTTGATCCAGAGCCTACTGCTACTAAATTCACCTTCAGTAAGGAATATCGCAAATTGAAAAAGCCTTCTGCAGTCAATCTAAGCAACGTGTCTGTAAAACGAAAACATGAACGATCAGACCATATCACTGATACTGAGGATCACGTGCCGGGCCCAAACTGTGTGAAACCAGGGCCACAAAGTATTGAAACTAAGGAATCTAGTTCTTCAGACAAAGTAGGTCAAAAAGAGGTGGTATCTTACAGATCAAGTCATCTGAAAAGTACCCATGATGGTAAAGGCAGTTATCCGGTTTCTTCTGATGAACACGGTAGTCCAATTGGGGACATATACAGATTGTATTTTGCAGACAGTGCAGATACCAGTATGTACAATAATGATGCATTTTGGTCATCTACTGACAGAACTCAAAATTCAAAAAGCAGCGGTGCAATACGTCAGACGACTGACATGCATCAGTGCAGCACGCCGTCCATGAAACCAGGTGGTCATGCCAGTTTATTTGGGGAGCTGATGAAGAAATTCTTTTCCGAAGCAGCTGAAAATACCAGCGACATCAAAGCAGCAACAGACCTCTCAAAGTGTCAGTATAATATATCTAACTTTCACCAGGCTCCGTCTGACGTGACAACGCCGAGAAATAGCAGAACAGAATCGGATTCGAGCATTGATGACAATCCGCAGGATGCAACACTGACAGAAGCATCCCAAACTGACTGTGACATGTTTTCCTGCTGTACAGAACCTTGCCTAGATGAGTCTGTGAAGGAGGAGATTCAGGACTACTACGTGAAGATCTACAACCAAATCCAGAGTGAACCAAGGGTAGAGACTGTTCAGCTGGTGTGGCAGATTAATGAGGATGGAAGGATTTGCCTCTACCACAAATATCTCAAGCAGGTCAAGAGTCACGACCTTGTATCCCCCGAGGAACTGCAGGATTTGGAGAAGAGCGGATCTCACAGCGTGATACCAAGGAACATCAGACAGCAATACATATTCAGACGTCTTCTGGATGAGCTGGACCAAGTTACTTTTGACAACCGCCCTCTCACAAATGCCGAGAAAAAGAGACTAGACAACTTTATGACCAGTGAAGCAGGCTGCACATGATCACAGAATTCAGATCTTCATACCTTTCCTCATTAATGCCTGTTATGGATAATGTAAATAGCAATGTTGAGCTTGTAAACTATAAATCAGGAAATTGAAATTGATTTCTCAAACACTTGTCTCCTATCCGTTAATATATTGACATGATAAAATCACACAAAAAGAAACGTTCATCTTCTTGGAGATGTCTGTGTACATAGTCTACGCTACCGTAAATTACTTGGCTATATGTTTATTTGTACATAGGGGAGAGTTCGTTAATTCCTGCTGCCAACCCGGAAGATGCCACTGGGAAAGGTACCACCCGGATAAACGGTGCCTCACTGTAATCCAATGTTTAATCTGACATTCTTTCTTTGAAGTGACTTTCGCCTATTTTGCAAATCGGGCATGTTTGACATTACTGTTGCACGTTTCTGCTTCTCCTGCGACGTTCATAAGTTGTTTGGCACATTCACATCTTTTAACAATGTCACTGATATGAAAAGTAACTGGACTAACCTAAACGTGTATCTTTAAAGTTATGAGGCTTCTATGCCGGATTTTTTAATTTAAAAACGTCATTATTTTCGTGTAAAAATCTAAAAAAACATTGCGAATAAAGTGTACATTTCATAAGGTTTGTGTTTGATGGGCTTGTCTTCATACATAAGGTTATTCTGTACAGAAACACGAATAGCGGATGACGTCATTCTACAATTACGACTGCTTCTGACATGTGCCAGTTTTGTTCCTTGCCGCAGCACAGTGACATTAATCGGCCCTTGTGAATACGCAGTGTCAACTGTTGTTATCCATATGCGTCCATCTTTATTCAGTTCGAAGAAATTATGAGACATTCTAAAAGACTAACAGGCATCCCACGGATCCCTACATATACATGCATCACCGACTCTCGAGTTGTTACTGTAAAAAATCTAAAGGGTAACTATTGATGAATTGTATTATATGCACAGTGTAAATGACGATAACAAATTGAGCTTGACGTATGTCGTTTACAACATACATATAATGAGGTAATGCGATGAAACGGGGGGTACAGAAGTCCTTGGCTACATTTGGTATATCGGTTTCAGTACACAAAAACATGTCCAGATTGTCACCTCAAAGAGGATCTTGCTCTGAGCTCATTTCCATTAATGGTCTAGACATTGTAATAAGTTGTTTGTGTCGCAGTGAGGCATTGTTTCGGGATCATCAGGGACAGCGTTAACTGCTACATTTATATTCATTAGAAGATATGAGTTGACAAGTGATATTTTAATGACTTGAATTAAATGGAAGTGACAATTGTTCATGTCCTGAGCCAAGTTCCCTCTAAGAGTAGTGTAAAGGGATTGCTTACAAGAGACAATATAAGCCGTACGCATTTCTACGACGACGGTGTGTGGCACCAGTGGTCGCAGGCGATGCAACACATTGAACAGAGTTGTATCCCTTAGTAGTAACAGGATCTGCTGATCGTGGATTCGAATCGAAGATTCTACGATAATTAGCTTTTACTTTTCAGCGGAGTACTCTCATGTTACATCAAATTGATAAACGCCAACGACCTGCACCACTTTGGACTTAATCACATTATCTGTGATCGCAATGATTTCAATGTCACTTTAATGTTGCGGATACCATTCAGGCGAAGTCTACTTGACTTCAAAACCGGTATCAACAGCCACTGAGCGCCAGTCTGCTTTTCAGTTGTGTCTGCACACACAGTGACTCCTGGAGATTGAATTGAATCTGGTAAACGTTTCCGTTTCAAGCATGCCAGATGATCGTTACGCTGGAGACACCGCCCTTGGCGTGCAAGTAGTAATTACCCACAACATGCAACCGTGTTAAGAGAAAACGTAGATGTTACGTATGTGACCTGATGAAGGCAACGGCTGAGGAACCGTGATTAATGTGTGGTGAGATCGTGTACAAAAGAACATTTTCCAAACAAAGCCCACAATGACGAGACTGCCAATGATTTATACGGCGCTTCAACAACCAAACGCTTCATTGAGGGTCAGTCGCAAGAATTATTTAATAAGGAGAGAAAAACTATATGCCGCTTTGAACAGTATTTCACTTTGCGTTCGATATCAACTATGCTTTTGATAACAGATTAGAACGTTTGTCACGTCATGTCACAGTTGAGAATGAAACATAAATGACAAACTTGTATTCTGATAATAAGAATGGTTTGTCAGAGATTGTAACTACGTGATCAAAAGTCAGCGATGATGTTTATCGCCAGCAAAATTGATATTCTGTCAAAGAGCACTTTACAATTTTTGCAAGTAATATTCCTTATCGCCGGAATGGCTTGTTTTCTCCTTATAAGTATCAACACACATGCTGCTATCTTCGTTAATTAATTATCGCTATGTTTTTTTTAATTCTATTTCTAGTGGCGAGGACGATAACTGAGTGGTTTGGGTTGAACACTATTTAGAACATCACGATTTTACGCCTTGCGTGGCGGGAAAGTCCGAAATGATGCAGTTTTAAGTCAATGACTACTCTCGGTAAATTCAATAACATGATTCAGACAAACCAATATTTACTGAATCATTATCATTGCAAATGTGGGATTTGAACTCACGGTCTTAGGATTCTGCCTTGGCTTGCCCGGCACCGTGGTATGTACGAAACAGAATATCCATAATGTAACTGGGAGTAATCAGTACCACGTACATATCTATAACAAGCTACACATGAGCACTAGGTACTGTTACATAGTTATAATTCTTTACTCGTCTTGTTTGTGTTTACTCTCTGATAATACTTTAATTAGGTCACTGTGACACGACTTTGCCATCGATACTCTTTCCTTATCACTTCCAACGTATCGTGTATCAACACCACAAATATGTCTCTTCTCAGCGTTGACAAGCGCTCAGACAGTGTGCCACAGCGATCAGTAAAAGGTTGGTATGTTTTAGATTAGTTATATTATTATTATTATTATTATCATTATTATTATTAACATTATTATTATTATTATTATTATTATTATTCATGTAAGTATATGTTTAACATGGAACACTGGCAGCCCAGTCGTCTAAGGCGCCGCAGTTTCCTTTGAAGAGTTGCGTCCCTTAGGCGTGTCAGGAACCTTGGATCGTAGGTTCCAAGATTCACCTGGATTATGTTAATGTCTATAACCTGCAGCATTTCGCACTTTCCACCCAGGTAAATCTGACACGCCGTAATATAACTGAAGTTATGTGCAAAGCGGCGTTAACTCCCACGTTAACATGTTTAGAAGTGCCTAACACACATACTACTTGTTGACACTTGTTGGACTTCTCACGCTTACAAATGTGATTTGATACTGGTTATGCTCATTGGAAAACAGCGACACGGATTGGCAATTGGTCTTTTAAGCCGGAATTCGACGTATCGTCAGTGTCGTCAAATGATCCGCTTTTCGTGGGTCGAATACAAGATTCCTCCGTGAAGATCCGGGGTAGAATAGATCTTTAGCAACCCATGCTTGCTGTTAAAGGCGACTAACGGGATCGGGTGGTCAGGCTCGCTGACTTTGTTGATGCTTGTCATCGTATCCCAATTGCGTGGATCTATGCTCATGATGTCAATCACTGGATTGTCTTGTCCAGACTCGATTATTTACAGACCCCCCTCATTTAGCTGGAATACTGCTGAGTGCGGCGTTAAACAATAAAACAAAGAACAAAGTGTTTACTTTACCCGAGCTCAGGGGTTTTCACCGCGTCATCTCGGTGTTCCCCTCACACTGAAGACCTGACCATGACACATTCTCACGCAGCATATTACTCTCTTATATAAAATGAAATAATTGTCCAATATCTGCTGAAGCAAATGTAACACATGTGGCGTCTCCCTGGGCAAGTGCCTCTGTTCACCCAACAGTGAATGGGTACCCGGTAGGATGAAGTGGCAATGTGGTTGTTAACCTTCTAGCTTGGGTTTGATACTCATGAGTGTGTTAGGTTTAACGCTGCTTTTAACAGTATTCCCGTTATATCACGGCGTGTCAGCTTAATGTTGGAGGAAAGCTCGAAGTGATGCAGGTCTCGGACGTTTACCACTTCGGTGAAACCCACGAGCAAGGGTATGGTGCTGACAAACCTAGAAACATAAACGGGCGAACCTGGATTCGAACCCACAATCATAGGTTCCTGGCGTGCCCAAGGGATGCAGCTCTGCACAGCGAATCGCGGCGGTCTGGCTCGGTGATAATCATTATCCTACCCGTTGCTTGTAATTTCAACCATTGGTTTATCTAGTTTAGTCTCGATTGTTTACGGGACACTAGACTATTGCTGACTGCGATATAAAACAAACACAATTTAACAATCATACGATTGTAAATCATTGAATGTTCCTGACGTCAAATGGGATAACGTTGCTTCATCATAGCAATAAGTTGAATTCATTGACGTTTTGGGTGATGTTTTTTCAACGTCATTCTTCATTCTATTTCTTGAGGCTCGCGGTACGTTGGTATTCTCAAATTATATAAAAAAAGCATGACAGGTTTGTTATTTATGTACTGTATATGCATATGTGTGATTATAAAATAAGACATCCAATTCTGAAACAAAACGTCATTTACTGTACCAAACCTAAACAGATCCACAATGTCCACAGACATTCACACCCGCCCAATGATGGAAACAATCTTTAAGGGGGAAAATCAAAGCATTTCCAATCATTCCAGTCTCTCAAGAACTCTCCTGCTTTGACAAGCAATCTTTGGTGAAATAATCCCCAAACTGTGGCACGTTTCATGTGCGTACCGAGCTTGCTATGTGGCGAGTAATGATTGGGCTGCCATTACTTTGTTGCGAATCTATATTTTTGGATAGCTTAAGAAAATATCTATTAGACGGAAGTATTCCAACTATACGAGGTCTTTCACCCGAAACATATTGGAGCCACCAATTCCTTTGATTCCTCCGACTGAATTCAGTGCGATCGACCCCTGATCCGGTCTTTCACTCGGTCTTATTCTGTGGTACTCCGCGCTAGCTCGTTGGGTTGGCTTTATGTACCTGTCATGCACTCGTTGAACTGTTTTCATAAATTTCAAAGATGGCTTCAGTTCGCTACCAATGTTTCATTTTTGAAAAAGGCTTGGATGCACTGGTTGTCCAGTGGTCTGATGTGCAGTAATTCGCAGTACATAGTTATGTCCCTTAGATGTAACATGATCCGATTCGAATTTAAAAATCTACCCGATAAGTGACCTGCATCGCTTCTCCCAAGTTGGGCTGACAAGCCACATGATGTAACTGAAATACTGACAGTGGCGTCAATCGCCACTGATGATAACTTAGTTATTTCTGACTATCTAAGTCAACTCATTTCTACTTGGTTCCCATTTTGGTCCTACAAATTAAAAGTTGAATGTGAACATTAGCATTCATTTGCAGCAGTATTGAAGAGGCAGCGACAAGCGTGTGTTTTATGAGTGAGGCAGAATTAGTGTATATTACATATGACATGTTCTTACTTATACAATATGAATCTTTCGCTGCCTTGACAACTCTGACTATATATAAATAATGTTTGCGTATATAATTTAAATTCTTAGTTTAGAGTAGACATTCTGTATTTGGCATTTCATCGCCCTAAATGAATTATCCTGGACTGGTCCCCTTACAGTATTTACATCATGGCTCCTCTGTCTTTGACCATACTTCAGCTAAATGAATTGTTAGTTAAAATCACTTGGCAATAACGGAACCACTTTTTTCCACCTTGATATTGGAACAATTTCTCGAAATACGTATGTCGCCCGCGGGATTCGAACCCGCGAAGTCATGGAATACGCAATGACATATTTACTAACATCAACAATTGCCCGTTAGACCACTCGGAGTCCGATGTTTAATCGTTAAAATGTTAATTCTGAATAACTGTTATAACTGAATTAATAATGTTTAGTCAGGTAACTTCTGAATCAGTTACAGCTTTTTACACTAACACTTACACTTACATGCCGAAACACGTACAACATATGAATGCAGATACATCTGTTATGAACAAATCTAGCTAAACTTTCTGTTACATGTATATACTGGCCAAAAAGAAAGAAACGCATAGCTGAAATCTGTTTTTCAAACTTGACTGTGAATATTGACCTTACACTAATTCATTGCACCCGAACACAACATTTGGTGACTTGTCGCCAAAATACAGCATCTTGAAACCAAACTGGGAGAAATTGCATGGAGAAAAAGCTGTAAGTATGCTGCACGTGCAAATAGGGCTACTTAACCTTTATACCGATGGGTATACAAATTTGGCAGTCCTGCTGAGAATCACTCTCCGATGTTCTGTCTACGTGACTCTCATGATGCCAAGACTGAATGAAGACTGTAGAAACAGAGCCATTGGACGTCTGGAAGCTGGAGAAAGTCAGACATCAGTAGCCAGGCAATTTAACGTGAGGCAGAGTACCATTTCTCGTCTGTGGCAGCGCTACAGACTCAACAACTCTACAAGAGATCGACCGAGAAGTGGAAGACCCAGGGTCACAACTGCGGCGCAGGACCGCTTCATCCGTGTGTTGCATCTTCGCAACCGGACAATCAGTGCAGCATACACAGCTAACAATGTTCCTGGTCTTCGTAGAGTCTCGGCGCAAACCATCAGAAATCGTCTAAGACAGCATGGGATACGACCAATGAGACCATATACAGCGCCCGTTCTGCGGCAACATCATCGTCGTGCACGTCTGCAATGGAGCAGAAATGTTCGACCATGGACCCAAGTGCACTGGAGAAGGATATGGTTCAGTGATGAGTCGCGGTTCATGCTGTATCGCCATGATGGTAGGATGCGTGTCTACAGACGGAGAAATGAACGCTACACTCGACACTGTATTCATGAAGTCGACCGATACGGCGGTGGAAGTGACATGATGTGGGCAGGCATATCCGTGAATGGAAGGACAGATCTGGTGCACGTGCAGGGAAACTTAACTTCAGTTCGCTACCGTGAGGAAATCCTTCAACGTCACCTTATTCCCGCCATTGACGTCAGAAGAGAGATTTTCCAGCAAGACAACGCATGACCGCATACTGCACGTGTTACCATGGATTATCTTGCCCACAACAATGTTACTGTGCTGCCATGGCCCTCCAAATCGCCTGATTTAAACCCCATTGAACATTTGTGGGATCTGCTAGACAGACGTGTACGACGCCGACAGCCTCAACCACAGACGCTTCAACAGCTGAACCATGCATTGCAGGATGAGTGGAGAAAGATTCCACAACGCCAGATTCGACGACTCATACAGTCCATGCCCAGGCGGTGCAGAGCTGTGATCGATGCTCGTAGTGGTAACACCCGGTACTGACTTTGGCACAGTGCCATCACAGACACAGACGTCCCTTAGAACATTAAAAGACTGTTTGTAGTGTAAGAAACATGTGCCTCATCCTGTTTAAAATTTGGTTGTTGTATCCTCATTATTTATTCATAATCATATTTCATTAAACATGGAATGAAACATCGATTATTCTGTTATGCGTTTCTTTTTTTTGGCCAGTGTATATTTCCTATTTCCATTACTTTATGAGTTCATGGCATATTTCTTTACAGATCATGGAGCATTTGGCAAGACACACATCGTGGCTGTTTCTTATTTTGATTTGGTCTTCAGTGGAATGCCATAAGAATCAGTTCAGGGTGTTAGGCTTGCAGTATGCCACTCTCAATCAGAGGTTCCAGCTGGAGACGAAGTTGTTACAGGACGACCTCGCAACAGCTGCAGCTGACATCGAAGATCTGAAGGAGGACAGCGCTAGAATAATTCAACTGTTCGAAGTCTTCACTAATGAAATCAGAGAGCTGCAGAATGTTATATCGACAGACAAGTTAACTATTCAGAGCCTCGAGAGAGATGTTAAGCATCTTCATAACCAACTTGAAAACTTTAAAACAAAAACAGGAGAGACTTTTGATAGGAGCCGTCATATATGCAATAGCACCTTGCATTCAAGTCCTTCCGAAAGGTGTATGTGTGAGTATACATGTAAAACTAACGAAACTAAGGTGTTTAAGGTTAAAGAGGCGGAACATGAAGTGACCGATTCAGCAGAGGGAAGGGGGAATGAAACTGGAAATAGAGGTGTTCATGTCCTTGTTGCAAAGTATGGAGACTCTAAAGCCTATGTCGTGAATACTGGCGAGAGGAAGCCTGTGTGGAGGGTTGGACATCTTGGAAGCGGTGTCAGAGCCATCACAGTGGACTCAGGAAACAGGAGAATGTACTGGTCTGACGACCACAGGAAAGTTATCATGGCATCTGACTTGGACGGTAACAACTTAACGGTCATCGCGAGGAATGTGACCACATTGGGACTTGGAATAGACGTTGAACAACAGTTCCTCTTCTATACGAATGTGTCAGGAGATTTGTACCTGAACAGAATGAATTACCAAACAGAATCTGGATTGTTGTGGGCACGTATTGGGGATAAGCCAAGACGCATTTTCATAGACACACGTGGTAAATTTGTCTATGCCATTATTAACGAGTGGACTAGCATAGAACGACGAAATTACGAAAACAGGATGGGAGAAGTTGTGGTTAACGTAAAAGGGAGGATTAAAGCATTTGTTGTTGACCTGGAAACAAGTATTTTATATTTTAGTGTGAATTCTTCCATATTTGCCATAGATTTGAAACAGATCGATAAACCAGCTTCCGCAATATTTCACGGCACTGCCATGCCCTCTGATTTGGTCATCTCTGGGAGATTCATGTATATTGTATATTATTACTTTAACAAGATTGATATAATGGACATGCTGTCTATGACCCTAACTCAAGCTATCTATATCCCATGGACGGGTCAAGGAAATACTGTTTCAATGTGTCTTTTTAAAGTCAATTGAACCCAATGTGATCATTCACATTGACAGACAGTTATAATGTACGCTGTATATGTCCTACATATATAGTTCTGGCAATTGTTACTGTTGTCATATATAATTATTATTTATAAATGATAAAAAAGATATAATTACGTTGATGTAGACTACATGTATATGGCTTTACAAATTGATCTTCTGTCAACACAAAGCATTACTTATGCCGTTTTAATGTAATCCCATGTGACATGTTTCGAGCGTCACCTTTGGGTTGTGCTTTATGACAAATTAAAGCAGACGCTTCAAAGTCCACTGAAGATAGCAAAGTGTTCGGCACAGTTTTGTTTCAAATTAAGCTACACGAGGGAAGATATTAAATATGTAATGAAAACATACCTTAAAACTTTCTTTTTCGCTAATGCACATTTAAATCAAATTTAGGGGGCACGGGTGGCCCAGTCGTCTAAGGCAACGCGATTTGCTGTGCAGAGTTGCGTCCCTTTGGCACGCCAGAAACCTATGATTGTGGGTTCGAATCCCGGTTCGCCCCGATTATGTTTCTAGGTTTGTCAGCACCATACCCATGCTCGTGGGTTTTACCGGAGTCGTAAAAGTCTGAGACCTGCATCACCTAGGGCTTTCCTCCCACATTAAGCCGTGATGTAACTGGAATACTGTTATAAGCGGCGTTGAATCCAACTCACTCACTCACATTTAATCAATTTGATCTGATGATAATATGCTTAAAACCAATCGCATTATGTATCGGCTGCTGTTTGTAAACATCCTGTCTATAATGTCATGTGACTTATCATGCTGTGCATCTATTTTTAACTGGATTGTAATGGAGAGAGTGAGAGTTTAAGTAAAGTCACGTTGGCAGTATTTCAGCCATAATGTGACTTGAACAAGTTATACAATATTCACAAAAACTGTCGACGAAGGACAGTCAGTATAATAACTAGCAATGTATCACAGAGACTTAAAACTAGTTGTAGAACATTAAAATATCTAATTATTGGGGTACGACACGATATAAAAATGGAGCTATAGATCGCCAGCAACAAGGTTAAAATCACCATACCAGGGACCAAGGGGACTTACGGTACCTCTGCTACCTGCATGGTTCCCTAGCAGGATTTACACCTTTTCCAGGTTACTGGCACGTTTAGCCAGAGGTTAAAACAAACAGATATTCTACGATTAAAACACTGGTAGATATAAATATACTTTGAAAGAGGTGGTCTTACTTCAACCCCCGTCGAGGGCATAGCCACGGACAGTCTCAGTTACTAATCATACACTACCGTTTTATTTATCAATTTTTTTGAATGATTAAACGTGAATTAACATTGCTAAAAAGGTACTTAACTGTTTTGACCCTGAAATATTGATCCCTTGTTATGGAAAATGACTGTAATGGAGGGGCTTGAAATCATGTGGCGGTAACAAGATGGCGCCTGACTGACTCGTCTCGCTCGGCGAGGCATTACCACTATAAAATTAATATACTATGGTCATTTGAGCATCCCAGTGTTAACAGAAATAAATGTTCTCAAAGGTGAGACTTAATTTAAATGCATTGGGATTGTTATTAGACACGTAATCAAAAATGCTTCTTTGCGTTCGAAAACACAATACGTGAGGATACATTTTGGAATTAACGTATTTAGTAAGCTGATAAAACACCAGTACATCGTCAAAGAATAGGAAAAGAGCTTTAAGTTATGTGCATCTGAAACAAGCCCTATGATATTAAATACATGATCACAGTTACTTCTGTTTTGATTATACATGTACATGTGTATCCAAATGGTATAGTATACTGAACATGCCAATGCCCCATGTTATAAAACGTTCACTCGCGGTTTCTTGCACAACATGCACTTTGGAATAAAGGTTATTTGTATCTTCCGTGTGGTAGACTTAAACTGGCTTGACTACATGCACGTGTATGACAGCAATATTTATTTCTTTGGTTGATATATTTGCTAAATGAATTCTTTGATTTATCTATATTCTATATCGTGCAACATGCATGTGTGAATGTGAATATGTACGCATTACCTGCATGATCGGCATTTATGGAACTACGTGAATTGGCTTATCTATTTGCGAAAACATAATACACTAACGATTTCCAAGGGAAAAAAGTATAAAGTTTAATCAAAATAATTTTATCCTGAAATTAAACAACGCATCTTTCAATGCTTACTCATGCATAATTCATATGTTTGCATGTTTGTTGGTAGCATCCCCCCCCCCCCCCCCCCCCCCCCACACACACACACACACACACACACGCGCATGGTTTGTTGATGGAACAGCAGAATATGAGTGTTTAGCTATCGGGTGCTCATAAAAACATTTGCGTTTAACCGAAAATAAGGCTTACGCAATGCCACGGCTTGCGGGTATGTTGCAAACAGGAATGGAGGAAAACATAGTTACGAGACATTTTAATGTACAGTAAACTACGGTTATAACGAACACGCTTATAACGAACTTACGGATATAACGAACTTACTTTTTTGGTCCCGACTATTTGCTGTAGTTATGCTGTATATATGCTTATAACGAACTACGGTTATAACGAACTAAAATAAGTAGTCCCTTTGAGTTCGTTATAACCGTACTTTACTGTATATCGAAACAAATTATCGTCTCTTTGGAAACGTTTTATTCAGCAGATCAACACTCATGACGTGCCACAGACCTGTCGTCCACGTGTGACTTCACGTCAACATACATCTATATTTGCTCGGTGCATCTACAGAATCAATACCAAACTGTCACAGTAGCAGCTCGGACAATTGCTTCGTTGAGACCGATTCGTGGCGGAACCTACGCAACGAGCTGAGGGAGCACAACATCCGGCCCCCATCTCCAGCGACACGCCAATTTTGCTTCAAGCGACAAGCCAATTTTGTTTCCACGCCACCGTCATGCACGCCTAGCTTGGTGACAGCATCTTAGATTCAGAAGACAAGACCGGGACACGAATGAATCGAGGTATCACCTGGACAGCTCTGATTGTCGTGCAAAGGGCCTACAGGCGCCCAGGAGAGTGTTTTAGCTACGCTTGCCTTTTAAGGGTATGGAGTGGCATCACAACTCATGCAAGAACACAACTCGTCATTGTAAATGGCAATTGGAAGTACGTACGCTACAGGGACAACATGGTTCGAGATCCGTTGGTATATACATATTTTACAGTTGAAACGTATGCACGGCCATTATGTATAATACCTGAATATACACATGTTACTATCTGCATGTTCATAGACATGCAGATAAACAATTGTTCCATGTATGGTGAAAAAGGTTAAATAATATCAGTCATGCAAGACTGTGAACACCTTGAATGCGTTCTCCCTATGCTTCTGAAGTAAAGTGTGGATTTGGCCCAGTGTCAAGCGAAACACTCATTTAGGGAGTTAAATCAAATATTAAAGATATCTATAGCACCTACTTTAGAAAGAGTTAAATACCCTTAATACAAACTACTCCACATACTCAATGCTAAAATATAAAATGAAGAATTAACTTCGACAAAAAAAACGTAGCTTGTGGTGTGTGTTTTGTTGTGAAGACTCAAGTTTTTGCGTTTGTCCAACCAAGTGATATTTTACTGCGCTTCGACAACACGCAATACATTGGCGGGCTGATTGCTCTGTCAGTTGGCATTCGATAATGAATTGATCAATTTCAATTTCGATTTGGCCAAAGATCCATTCAAAACTAGGTGTGCATTAACAACATTTTGTATGTCAACATGCCATTGTTCCTTTTTATACAATATGGCCAACAGAAAATTACTTTAGTGATGTTTGTTTCCAGAATATCATTTTTTATGTTTACCAGTCACAAAAATGTCCCAGTTCGGGAGATATTCGACAGGAATACTGGGTTTGATAAGATATTCACTGGTAAGACATGTTATTGATGTTTATTACAGGGGAATTACTTTTATTGCTCTGTTTTATAAAAGTTTGTTTTGTTTTTGATAGAGATACATTATGAATGTCCGACGAATCTGCTTCGGCGGATAATCGAGACTGATTATTCTCTTACTATGACGTTTTGTATTGTCAACTACGAAAGAAATGTTTGGGACGAGACATTGAAACTGGTTTGTTTACAGGGCGCCGTCGCATGGCAAGAGTCAGACAACAAATACTTACACGTTTTGGTTACTAATTCTTATATGGGTAATGATTGTGTATACTTCGGTCTTTAATTAGAGCTTTAGTCTTTTAGGTGGAGCTTAAGTCTTTAGTTAGAGCTTTGTTATTGGTGACTCAATCTGTGCAAATGGTTCAGGATACATGCTCCTGGTGACCAGGTTTTGAGAAGTTGAGGAAAAGGTGGGGGTGCAAATACCTTCCTAATTCATGGCACCATACATGTGACGCCGCTCAAACAAAGACATGACTCCTCTCATGCCTCCGCTTGGGATCATCGAACCCACCGTCTGCATCAAAGAAATTACCCTGTTGGTGATAGAGGTGTAAAATACCCCACTCGCAACGTGTCATTGCGGGTTATATGTCCCCTGTACATATAATTGTAAGAAAATAAAACGCGACAGATAATTCTCTAATCCTTTGTTTAGTCTCTAAGCATTTACATAATATATTGGACCGCTGTCCCCTGACCGTCACCGTGGTCTAGAGTGTCTACACGGTGAACGAGTGAGTGAGTATGGTTTTACTAAGCAAACACGCACGCGCGCACGCACGCAAGTGCAATAACCTTCAACGCGGCGATAAATCCCATTTCACCGCATCTAGCATTAAATATTGATGGGGAGATTGTTTAGTACATAAGGACAGTTAATATTATTGTGTCTTGTCAGTTATTTCGGAATTCCGAGAGTATATTTGGTCATGTAGGTTTGGTAATTTGACTTAGATTGCATGAGTCGTCCCAGTGGACACAGAGGGTTTACATTAGCCCCCAGCAACCTCATCTTTCCAACGCAAGGCCGTTAACTGACTATTAAAATCCGGTTTCAACCCTTGCCAAACTAGGCTGGAATTTCCAGCCAAAATCGCGTGACTAACTAGACATCCGGTTCGCAAACAACATGGATTTCAACGTGCAGATTTCGGTCGACTGCAGGGTCTACAAAGCATGTTTACCGCCAACCGGGCGTCGAAAGATAGTTGGCCAATCTTTTCATGTTAATATAGATGTGATGCACTTCGCCAGGTAAGACCTGTTGTATTACAATATAGATCTTGATTATCGATCAGATCGTCTTGACTGGGCACCGCAATTTTGTTTAAAGCAAAAGCAAGTGATATGAGAGGTGGAATCTGATTGGTCAATAGGAGGTACACGGAAGGGGCACAACTCGTAATAGTCACTGGTGGCGTTACGATCGAGCCTGGAAATTTCGGCCGAGTTTGGCAAGACTGGAAACTGGAGTGTTATAGTCAGTTAACGCCCTTGTCACGGGAAGATGCAGCAACCTAGGCTTATCGTATGAAGGCGACTTAATGGATCCGGTGGTCCGACGCGATGACTTGGTTGATTG